GGGGGGAGGGGGAGGGAAATGGGAGGCTGGGTGGAGGCGGAAACTTTTTTTTTCCTATTCTCAATTAAAAAAAAAATAGCACTAGCTGCTCTTCCAAAGAACTGGAGTGCAGAAGCCAGCACCCATGTCAGGCAGCTCACAACTACCTGTAACTCCAGCTCCTGGGGATCTGACACACTCTTCTGGATTCCTCAGGCACAAACATACCATGGCAAACACAGAGACACATATACACATACATATAAATAAAAATAAATCTTTAGAAAACAAAGGAACAAGAAGAAAAAAATTAAAATTTTTTTGTACTGGATATAAAGAATTAAATTTTCGTATAACAGAAAAACGGGTTAATGAACCAGAATACAAGACCCTGAAAGAGCAAATATTTTACAGATATTTGATATATAAGCAATGTGACTTCATATAGCAGTGGAGAAAAGATGGTCTTTTTACTAAAAGGTTAAGTTAATTGAATACTAATATGGGGGAAGACAATTTAATCATATTTATTTTGAAAATTATATGTGGATAGCAGATCTAAATTAAACATCAAAGATGAATAAACCTTCTATAGTTATTTGTAATAAAGGTTTTGAACACAGAACATTCAATCATAAAAGTGTGTTAACTATATTAAAACTTAAAAAACTTTCATCAAAGGCTACTTTAGAAAGTACACAGGACCCCAGAATGGGAGAAGAACACATGCAACCAAATACAACTGGCCCATTATGTGAGAGTCACAAAAGATACTTTACAGTGGTTTTGTAATATGTGTGTGTAATTTGTATATAATATAATATTATATATATGCATACTATACCTTATGTTTAGAACAAATAATGGATGATAAGGCATACTTAAGTTTGGATATGAAAACACTAAAATTACTAGCTATTTGAATGAAATCTCACAATCATGAGGAAGAATAAAAAATACATGAACAAAATAATATATGCTGACTAGGTCATTTCATTCCAATTTTGTTTTTATGGGATTACTGTGTGTGCGAACATGTGTGTCTCTGTGACTATATATGTTTCTTGTACTTTTTGCTTGGATCTTTTTCTCTGTTTGTTTTACCTTATTCTGACTTGTTTATTTTTATCTTATTTTATTATTATTCCTTAGATGCCTGTTTGCTTTCTAAGATGAGACAGAAAGGATATGAATCAGAATGGGAGGAGAAGCAGGGAGGAACTGAAAGGAGTTGGGGGAATGTAATCAGAATATATTTTATGAAAAAAATCTATTTTCAATAAAAGAAAAATTAAGCAAATAAATAAAGACAAGAAAACAGGATAAGCACATAACATGTGCATATGCATTAAGAGGAAAAGCTAAACTTATGATAAGAACAACTGTGATACTGATTACCCACAATGAATAAGAGGCAGTCTTGCTGGTAATTCTCTATTTTCCTTATTTGGGTGGTGCCTCTATATGTATTTTACTATTTAATACATCACTGAGCTTTACATTTCTGTTTTGTGTCTTTCCCTCCATATGTAAGATAGCTTACAATTTTAAAAGGCTAAAACAACTTAAAAATTTCTTTCAGGGGGGCTGGAGGGATGGCTCAACGGTTAAGAGCACTGCCCGCTCTTTCAAAGATCCTGAGTTCAATTCCCAGCAACCACATGGTGGCTCACAACCATCTGCAATGAGGTCTGGTACCCTCTTCTGTATAAATAATAAATAAATATTTTTAAAAAATTCTTTCAGGTTTAATAAACACATTGCATAAACTAAGATTTTCCAAAGGTCTAATTCTGATGGCTATGTCAGTAAAGTCGTTACTTTACAATCACCAGGATCTGGATTTACTTCCCAGAACCCATCAAAGCTGCTGAGCATAGATGTGTGTACTGTAATCCCAGTGCTAGGAGGGCAAGCTGGCCAGTCCATCCAGCCTAATTGATGAGCGTTAGGGAGGGATTCTCTCTCAGTGGAGGCAGATGTGTTACTAAAAATGTCACCAGAGGATGTCTTCTCATCTCCTTACATGCATGCACCCACACTTATTTTTTTTAAGTTAAGGGCTGAGAAGATGGCTTAGTCAATAAGTGTCTGCCTGACTCTAGATCTCCAGCACATAATAGCCAAGTGTGTTGGCACTTATCTGTCACACTAGCTCTAAAAGTGCAGAGACAGCAGAACTCCCAGAGCCCATTGGCCAGCCAATGCAGCCATTTGGTGAGCTCTGAGATCAGGGAGAGACATTGTCTCAAAAACAGGATGGGAAGCAATAGAAGACAAGCAGTGTCAACCTCTCACCTCCACAAGCATGTGTGCATGTATATACACACACAAACACAAATATGCACTCACTCATAGTTTGTACACACAAAACACATAAAATTTTTTTAAAGTTTAAATTACTGCCATCTTTGATTCTCTGTTCTACTTAAAACTGAACCAATAAAATAAACTGGTATTTTCTGAATTAAGCTAAACGATTTTTTAAAAAAGTATTTACAATGAGTTCAGAAAAGAAAAAATAAAATATGAGATATAATATGAAATTTTATCATCATTCTGGTTCAGGCATAACTGCATAATCCAAGTAAAATACAGAGGCAGGAAAGATTCTGAAGAGTTGTGATATCTGAGAGCCATATTTACATACCTTATAAACTAACACTTAAATCATTTAGCACATAAACAAAATGTTACTAGAAGATTTACTTTATGGCAACAAGAGTAGCAATAACCCTAAGAGCATTGTTTTAATATTGGAATATAATATATAAATATTTGCATATAATAAAATTAAAATTTATATACTTATAAGATGTTTATATTTTATATGTCATACAAATAAATGCATTTATATAGCATATAAATAAAATATATTTGTATATAATACAATATATAAATTTATTGTTATTATTATTTCTAAAGATCGTTAGTACCATCAAAGATAATTCATTACTTTTATAAGGTATTACTAGAATGTAAGAATATTCTCATTTCAACTTTCTTTCTTATAAGTAAAGCACTAAAGAATTTATATCTTTCTTTCAGACAGTACACAATGATATCTAAGGTTCAACTAGAATTTCTTTCAGTTTACTAAACCACAGTGCTATAAAATGAAATGTAACACTACATGATAGCCTACTCCTCTTAAAAACCACAATTAAAAGTTTTTAAGCCAAAATGTCTATTATCTTTAGCAGATAGGCAGGTAAGCAATGATTTTTTTTTAAAGTTTAATGATAAAATCTGTTGTCAGTGTAGTAAGGACCTAGTAAGGGACAGTCGTATTCAGACCCTTCAGTTAGTAAATTATGGGACAAAACAAATTTCTAACACTTAAAAAAGTTTTAGTTATTATTGATAGTAGTCTGTTGTCTCAGGATTGCCTCCCCATCTCATTCCATCAACCATACATACACACAAATACAAATATATTTGACTTCTACAATTGGGATCCAAGAGGACTTTCTCAAATTAGGTAATTTTCATATTCATATGTGTGTGTGTGTGTGTGTGTGTGTGTGTGTGTGTGTGGTTTTCAATGTGCCTATAATTTAAGAGTTAAGCAAATTTTTTACCTATGTAATTCAAAATTCAATTTGTTTTCTAGTAAGTACATGAAAAGAACAAAAGAAAACCTATCATCTATTGCTATATATTTCTTACTTTTTTAACTATGAAAACAATATTAAAGCATTCTGTTGTGGTTTGAACGAAAAATGTACCCATTGGCTCATGTATTTGAACTAGTGGTCTTCAGCTGGTGCACTGGTTGAGAGGTTATAGACCCTTTAAGAGGTACAGCTTTGCTGGAGAGTATGCTACCATTATGAGCAGGAGAGACATTTGAGAGTTTCAAGTCTTGCCCCACTTCATGTTCATTCTCTCTGCTTCTTGTATGTGATTAAAATGTGATCAGTCAGCTTCCTGCTCTGTCCACTTGCTGTAATGTTTCCCCGCCATTACGATTCATTCTTGCTCTTGCTCTAAAACCAAAATAAACTCTTCTTCCTTTTTGTCATGGTATTTATCATAGCAACAGAAAAGTAACTAATATCTGTCTAGAAAAATATTTTAAATAAAGTATGGTATAGCCATATGATGATACTATAGAGCCATTAAAATCAATAAATATGAAAACATGGTGTGTGTGCAGCTATCTATATCTATGTCTATAGATACATAGATATGATCATAAGACGAAACATATGGTTGTGCTGGCTAGTCTTATGCCAACTTGACATAAGCTAAAGTCATATGAAAGGAGAGAATATCTATTGAGAAAATGTCTCCACAAGATTCAGCTGTAAGGCATTTTCTTAATCAGCTGTTGATGGGGGAGAGTCTACCTCATGGTGGATGGTGCCATCCCTGGGCTGGTGGTCTTGGGTTCTATAAGAAAGCAGACTGAGAAAACCATGGGAAGCAAGCTCTCCTCCATGACCTTTGTATCAGCTCCTGTGGTGTGGGAATTCCTTCTATGTGTTGCTTTTCCTGGTTAATGAATAAATCTGTTTCAGCCAGTGGCTTAGCAGAATAGGACTAGGTGGGAGTTCCAAGTAGATAGAGGAGGAGAGAGTAGGCGGAGTCAGAGAGAAGCCATGTAGCCTCTGCCTTTGCCAGAGACAAACTCGCTGGAACTTTACCCTGTAAGCAGCAGCCACATGGCGATACACAGATCAATAGAATGGGTTAGTTTAGGATATAAGAGCTAACTAGCATTACACTTAAGATATTGGCCAAACAGTATTGCAAATAATATAGTTTCTGAGTGATTAAGTGGTCTGGGCAGCCAGGAACTAACAAGTGGCCTCCACCAACACTCCTGCCTCCAGGTCCCTTCCCTGTTTGAGTTACTGCCTGATTTCCTTCAGTGATGAATAGCGATAGGAAAGTATAAGCCAAATAAATTATTTACTTCCTATCTTGCCTTTTGATCATGGTGTTGCACTGCAGTAATAGAAACCCTAACTACTACTAATTAACCCTAAAACAATGGTTTAATTTGAATATTTTCAACATATATGATTAAAAAAAGGGAGTCCTGTCAAGAAAGAAAGGTACTTTTCCCCAAGCCTGACAACACTAGGCTAATCCCTAAAGCCTTTTGGTGGAAGGAGAGAACTGACTCTTTCAAGTTGCCTTCTAAGTTCCACATGAGCACCCACATACACACGTATGTAAATAACAGGTAACTGATCCACTGATCAGTGACTCCCTGAGTCACAAATTTTAAAACTATTTTTTGAGACACACTTGATATATGCAAAATAACAGTGGGTTACTGTGGTAGGGCCATGCACTGGGTTCATTTTTCTTCCTTAACGAAAAAAAATCACTTCCATTTCAACAATCCCAGTATGTCCTACAGACAACAATAAGTTATAAAAGGAAAACTAACCAAACAAGTAAAATTCCTAAAAGTACTGCAGTATAAAGAAAAGTAGTGTGTAACACATGAAGTGAGTTATCTGTTTCAGATGACTGATTTTCAGTGTAAGCCAAAGCCAAAGCCAACAGAGCAGACAAAACTCAGAGAGTGAAAGGCAGATTAACCTGAGAACAGTATTCCAGGCAACCAGGCATACTGAAAGAAAGGTTAAAATCCTGGAAAGGAGAAATTCTAAATTTTGATAAAGTTCGATCAAATATCTGGCTAATCCCTGAAACCAAAACTCAAGAGCTGACCCCTAATGCAAGATTTGTAGTCCAAGTTCAACCAAGTTACCACTCTGGAGGGAAGACAGGAAGGGTAGAAAAGGGAAATAGGATTGTCAAATCAATATAGCCAAATCTAGAGTCTCCACAATATCATTAAATATTCAGAATATAAACCAAAATTAGTCCACATAAAAAGTAGCTGAACCATGTGACCTATTTTCAAAGGAAAAGGAATAGATAGAACCTAAATCTAGATAGATGACTTAGGTACTGAAATTAACACAGATACACCACTATAACTAGAAAAAGACATAAAATACTTCTACAATAATATAATAGTAAGTTACAAGTGGCAAAATAAATATACAAAAAGAACCAAATACAAATCCTAATACACAATGCCTAAAATAAAATATTCAGAAAATAAACAAAAGCAGAATAAGGATGACAAATGAGAAAGATCATGAACTTGAAATGGGCCAATTATTCTCAAACAAAAGAAAAGTAATTGAGGAAATGAATGAGTATCAGAGACCCACAGAATAGCAAAAAATCAGACTATGTAAAATCAGAATCTCAAAACAGAAAGAAGAAAAAACAGAAAAACACGTGGACAAGTATTATATTTCTTGACATGGGTTTTACATGTCTCTGTCAATATTCAATAAATAGCATATTTGAAACTCAGCAAGTACACACAAAATTCAAAAGTATATTTTCGGGTTTCTTGTTTGTTTGTTTGTTTTTTAAGACAGAGTTTCTCTGTAGCTTTGGAGCCTCTGCCTCCCAGGTGCTGGGATTAAAGACTTGTGCCACCATCACTCAGCAATTAAAAAAGCATTTTAAGAAAGTACATTGTAAGCCGGGCGGTGGTGGCGCACGCCTTTAATCCCATCACTTGGGAGGCAGAGGCAGGCAAAAGAGAGGATTAATATTGAATAGAAAGATGGAGTTATATAGGTTAATGATAAAAATTATATAGTAAAATGCTAATGGGACAATTTAAGTTTTAGACACAGAGGTATTACTGTTAAATCCTTTTGAGTCCTTTATATGCTTGAAATTTTTCTAATAAAATTTTGTAAGGAAAAGCCACTGTGACTGACAATATTTCAATGAACTAATATAAATTATTTTTAAATATTCAATGGTCTAATACAAATTATTTTTTAAAATAAGAGCTATATGTCCTTACTAACTAACTTAATTAATCTTTAATTAATCTGAGTCAGACAGATTTCAGTCAATGAATCTACCTTATTCATGTATCTATTCAGTTTGGGGATCAAACCTGAAGAGGAAAGAAGGGAGTAAGAAAGGGAGGAAAAGAAAAGCAGAATGGGAAGAAGGAAAGAGAGATAACCAGGAAGCAGATTGCTTGTTCCCTATTTCATTCTTTAATGATTGAATTCTTTTACTTTTTTTCTAAATGCATAAAGAAGAATATGCCTATATTTTTTTAACTCAAACTGGAGGAGCAAGAGATATGGTTCATCAGTTAAAAGAACTTGTTACTCTACCAGAGGACTCAAGTTTAATGTCCAGCACCCACATTGGGCAGCTCACAGCCACTTGTACTTCGAGCTCCATGACATCCACTACTCTCTTCTGGCCTCCACAGACATCAAAAAACATGTAGTATACACAGACATAAATACATACACATATAAGTAAAAATATATTATTCTTAAGCCAAGCTACATATAAATGCTATTTATGATCAGTTTCTACAGTGGGACATTTCAAAAATACTGTTCATTAAGCTGTTCTACAGAAAAGAACTTATAAAACTCAAAATATAAATATTTGTACAAATTTTGCATGAAAGATATAAAAAGCAAAATAACACCATTAACAGTATTTAAATGGTCCATGTTGATTTTTAAATCATGTGATTTTATTGCTTACCTTCTAATTCATCCAGATGTGAGGGAGTTCCTTGCATCCTGGGCTGAATATAAGATAATTTAAACCTGGGCACCACAAATGGTACTTCTTTGCCATCGCATGGTAATTTGGAAAGCAAATAATCCTCACTACAGCCAACTTGGGGCTTTACTGAAACAGAAGTCAGTGGAGGTGTACAGATGGTGTTCTGGCCATTTGAGACTGATGCTTTAAAGTCCCTTTCCATAGAAGCTGCATTCAAAGGAAGAAAAAGATCAGAAGTAAATCACAATTATGGATATAGATTACATGTAATAATCTAAACCCAAAATGGTTAGTATTTTTTAAATCACTATTATTTTTTATTTTCACTTTATTTTGTTATTTTGTTTTGAGACAAGAACTTACTATGTAAATCTAGCTAACCTGGAACTTGCTATGTAAACTATACTTTCCTGGAACTCACAGAGCTCTGTTGGCTTCTACTACTTGCTTCTGCCTCTAGAATGCTAGGGCTAACTGTGTGTGACAGCATGCCGGGCCTTTTTAAAATAATTTTAGAAAAAACATTCTGATACAAACTACTTTTGATTCGAACAAGCAGTTGTGGAATCTACATTGATCAATGAATATGTTACTGCCAAAGCACATTATCCTAGTAGGGCAGGAAAAGCAGTTTTTAGGAGTCATTCTCACAAGAGCTCACTGATGGAAAGCAAGTTTATTTCACAATTTAATGAATAAAAACCTAGTCAGTTTAAAATGTTATAAACAAAGCAATATTTGTTGTTAAAACTATGGGCAAACCTGAGTCTCAAATACATAAGTCAATTCTGAGAAGAAGCCAAAAGTCTTCAAGTTTACAAAACTCTCCAACAAATCACCAAATAAAATATATATTGACTAGATATTTATTATATTAGCAATTCACCCTGCCTGAACATCTACAGAGCACTTTATCTATTCTCTAAAATAGTATACACATAACTGTATAACCTAAGATAGGGTGGAAAAGGACAGCTGATCTTTATGTATAGTTAGTATCATCTGTAGAATGAATAAAAGCACAACTACTATCGTACAGGAATTTATGGAAAGATTTAATGTAAAACAGAAACTTTCTGCTATAGACTGCATATAGACTGGATATGGTGTAAGTGTATCCCCCATGAGTTGACATTTAATCCTTAAGGTAAGGGTATTAAATACACAATCCACATAGTAAGGAAAGGAAAACTATCTATGGAAACTTAAACTAAATCATGTGTTTAGATATAGGGCCTTTGGGAAGGTAGAGAATCCATGGTTGATTTCTGGTGGCTTTATACGAGACTCAGAGAGATCAAGTTATATGTGTTCATTCCCTACTTTCCTATCAAGTGATTCTCTGTACTGCCTTAGGATACTACCAGCAAGAAAACCATCACCACCTTTGACCTTTAGAATTGAGGGCCAAAATAAACCTCTTATCCAGTTTGTAATAAGCAGAGGTACTGTGTTATTGATATTAAAAAAAAACCAGACTAATAAAATGTCATATCCAAATATATACTAAGAAGTTCTACCCTACAAGTAATAAAATAACCAGAGAGTAAAATTATAATCTTAACCCTGAAGAGATAAACGATACAATATAAAAGGAAAAGCTAGTCTAGGAATCTTTCATAAATGTGAATCTTGATAATGTTCTGAGTTTCTTCTTCAGTGATCATCTTATATGGGTTTCTACTGCTGTGATAAAACATCATGACCAAAGTCAACTTAGGGAAGAAAGGGTTTATGTTTCAGCTAATAGCCTGTAGCCCAACATCTAGGGAACTCAGGGAAGGAACTTAAGGGAGAAACTACGGTTGAAGCCAAGAAGTTCTGTTGACTGGCTAGCTGAGCCTGCTTTCTTACAGTACCCAGGACCACATAAGCTGCCCCACACAAACAGGTCAATAATCAATAAAGAAAATGTGCTACAGGTTTTTCTACAGGAAAATCTGGTGGGGGGAATTTCTCGGTTGAGGTTCCCTCTTCCCAAATGACTCTAGCTTTTGTCAAGTTGGGACATAAAACTGGCCAGCACAGTGACCATTCATTCACAAGATATTTTTAATGTAACTGAACATAAAGTAGAAGTTATCTTTATTTGCATCAACGCATTTATCAGAGTGTACTGTTTCCCAAGCACACTTCTCTCCTTACATTCACCTGCTTATGTCCACCTCATAGATTTTTGTACTTCCTTCTTTCCACCAGCTTGGCAAATCCTATTCAGATTCCCACGGCAAGTACTACCCTCTTTATAGTGATGTCCAGGGTTGTCTCATGGTTTGAAATAGTCTCTCCACTATACTTCAGGGTCCCTACAAGTTCTGAAGCAACAACCTAGTCTACCTTCCCATCAAAGTCAGAAAACATTCCTAATTTACTCATGCATTATTAAATGCCAAAGAAGGTACCAAGCAAGTGTTTATCAAAATCAAAATAATACTCACACTTGTGCTCTTCTGTTTCACCATAGAAACATCCTCTACAGCAACTCTTTATACATTCTGCTGCCATTACATTCAATTTCTAATAATCAGAAAACTTCCAATATCAACCTGCTGGTAGAAGAGAAAGCATGAAATTTCACTGTGACTGTCACAGATTATCAATAACAAGTCATACTATTTGTCTTTCTAATGCATAATGAGGGCTCTGAAAAAAATATTTAAGAGGAAGATAAATTTTTTCTCATCTATATGATTTTATATAACCTAGGATCTTTATAACTTATCTGAACAACATACTTGAAATTACTACATAAAAATTTCATTGTTACAATTTGAGAAAGAAAATACCTTTTTCAATATTATCTTACATCTGCTATATATAGGTTTATATTCAAGTAAAACTTAAAAGAAGATATAACTGTCATAAAAGTATGACAGAAAAATTTCACTTCCTCTACATCAATTATTTTGATAATCCAAATCCTTTGTAACTGCAACCTAATAAGCAAATCACTATAAACATTGTAAGTTTATCTTAATCCTTAAAATTAAACTAACAGAAAAATATATCTTAAATATTTTATCATTCGCACACAGCGGTGGGAGAAAGGGCAAGCACACAAATAAGATATATTGCAAATGGATCATGTATTATATTTATCAGGAACATGGTACAAGAGAACTTTCTGCCCAATTTTCTACCCTGACTATCAATGTGCTTGTCCAACGGGACTCTCTTCACTTACACCTACTTAAATTCTATACATTTTTGTGGGAAATTTAAACACAAAGAGAACCTACAATAACAAAGTCACCAAAATTAAACTATTTTCAACTCATGGCAAATCTTATTTCATCTCTACCTCTCACTTGTCCTATATACTTTTGGTTTACTTTGAAATAAATGCCAATCATATAATTTAATCTAAAATACTTAAACAGTAAGCACTAAAAGATGTGACAGAGGCCTCAGAAGTTAATTTTTGAGACGCTCTCACTAGCTCAAGTATTAAAACAAACTATCTGAAATGGATTATATCATAACATTTCTAAAAGGCATTTTTTAAAAATAATTGTAATAGCATTATCATATACAAAAATTTAACATTAGCAACATGAACAAGTTTAATAAACTTTTTATTTAGTTTCACCTATGGTTTCCATTAAGAGTCATTTTGTTGAATTCAAGATAATATTTAGATTGCTGTACCTTTGGCTATTAGAAAGAGTACACTAGTTTTGTGTACATATATTACTCAGACAGTTCTTAGTATGTATCTGTAAGCTATAGGACTACTGGGTCAAAAATTATATATGTGTATTCTGCTTGTAGTACTAAAATTTCTCTGAACCACTACTGTTTCATATTCACAACAGAGCATATAAAATCACATTTGTCACCAGCAAGTGCTCTTCAAATTCTGCAGTTCTGTCAGTGTGATAAAAGAAATGATTGGCCTCTGTTGTCTTAAGTTGTATCTCCTTATTAAAAATCCTATTGGTAAGGACTGGAGAGATGATGATGGCTCAGTGGTTAAGAATACTGGCTGCTCTTCCAGAGGACTGGCATTCAATTCCCAGCACCCACAAGGCAGTTAACAATAGTCTCTAACTCCAACAACCTCTTCTGGCCTCCGCGGGTACTTCACTCATGTGGTACACCTACCTACATGCAGGCAAAACACATAAAATAAAAATAACTAAATCCTTAAAATATGATGTTGAGCATCATTTAACACATAAGACTAAAGTACAGTTATTTCTGTGAATTATCTGTGTTCATAAACTCTCATTTATCTAGTTTAGAACTTTTTATGTATCTCAGAGATTAGCTCATGTCTAACATATAAGTGAGAAATGTTCTTTTAACCTGTCATTTGCTTCTTCCTTTGATTGTCGTTATGTAAAAGTGTTTGTATAACCTTGGGATGTAGCTCAGTGACAGAACACTTGCCTAGCAGGTGAGAAGTCCTAAATGATATCCCCAGGACCAAACACCAAATTGCATATATATCTATACACACAAAAATATGACACATATATACAGATTGAGTATCTGTTATCTAAAATTCTTGCCATCAGAAAGAAGTGTTACAGATTTTGTATTTTGCAATATTTATACATATATAATAGGATATCTAGGGAAGAAACCAGATCTTCTAAGTATGAAATTTATTTTTTCATATTATATATCCAAAAGTAATTTTGTTTTTGATGTGAAATTTTCTACTTATAGAATTATATTAGAACTGAAGTTTCAGATTCTAAAGCACTTTGGATATATAAACATATGATCATATACATACCTATATATGTAATTATGTCTATGCTTTTTATTTTTCAGCTAGACTAAGTCATAGAAAAATTTCTCCATATCTAGGTCATAAATAATTTATCCATCTTTTCAAGTGTTTTGTTTGTTTGCTTTGTTTATTTATAAAGACAGGGTTTCTCTGTGTAGCTTTGACTGTCCTGAAACACACTATATAAACCAGGCTGGCCTCGAATTCACAGATCTCTGCTTGCCTCTGCCTTCCGAGTGCTGGGATTGAAGGTGTGCATCACTCCCGCCTGGCTTCTTCAAGCTATTTTAATGAGTATGTTATTTTTTATATGATCATCCTGGTGCATGGGATGAAAAATGTATTCAAACCTATCTTACCCCAGTACCACAAACACCACATACTCAAAATTCCATGAGCTCACTTCAGCGGCACATATATTAAAACTAGAATGATATGGAGATTAGCAAGGCCCTTATGTAGAGATAACTTGTAAACTGGTAAAACATTCCGAATTTTACCTCTATGCTTAAAACTCACACACAAAATAAATAAATTGATAGATGAAATACAAAATGTCTTTAAAAAATCTTATTTCCTCCACCACTGTTAGGATGTTCCCTTTATTAGAATATTAAATTTTGATATATAATTGGGTGTGTTTCTGTATTTTCTATTCTCTTCCATTGGTCAATGTATTCTTGTATCAATGCCATGTGATTTTAGTTTTAAGGATTAAAATGTATAGCAGGGCCAGTCATACTTACTGCTCTTCGCTTTCAATATTTTTGTTTTTGTTTTTTAAGCTACTCATGCTTGTCTGATCTTACCAATAAACTCTGCAGTCTGGTCTAATTCCAAGTGAAAAAAAAATCTGATGATACTTTCATTGAGAACGCAATAAACTATTTTATAAAAACTGACATCTGTAAGGATATGTATTTGTAACTGCTTACTTGATTATTTTAAATTCATGTTTTGACAACTATAATAGCAAAGAATTTGACATTTGTCCAAATACAAAATATATAAATTAACACTGGAGCCATCACACATTGCTGGTAAGAATGTAAAATAGTGTAGATACATTGTTAAAAATGCCGTGGTATTCCCCCAAAAACATAACTAAAAGTTACCATATGACCTAGGAATTCCATTTCTGGTTTAATATACCTATAAAAATGAAAACCATATTTTCATGCAAAAAAAACTTGAACACAAATGTTCATATTGGTCTTACTCAGAAGACTAAAGAAATAGAAACAGTAAAAAGACAAAATGAAACATATATTTGTCTATGCAATGGGTATTATTTAACAAGAACAAAAAAGACTGATGTACCAATTCATGCTATACCATGGATAAACCTTGGAAACAATATGCTAAGTAAAAAAAAGACATGAAGATCATATTATATGATTCTATTCATAGGCAAATCCAACACAAAATAAATTAGCATTGCCAGAAGCTAGAGGAGAGAAAATAGGAAGTTACTACAATACAAATGGATACGAGGTTCCTTTTAGGGTGGTGTTTCTCGACCTGTGGGTCATAACTCACATATCATATCTTGCATATTAAATATTTATATTATGATTCATAATAGTAGAAAATTTACAGTTATGAAGTACCAATAAAATATTTTTGTTGTTAGGGGGCCACCACAGCATGAGGAACTGTATTAAAGGGTCACAGCATTAGGAAGGTTGAGAGCCAGTGCTTTGGGGAAACCATAAGATTGTTCCTGAATGGTGTACTTGAACAGCGTAAATAATTAAAAGTAGACCCTTTTGGTCGGGTGGTAGTGGTCCAAGCCTTTAATCCCAGCACTTGGGAGGCAGAGGCAGGTGGATCTCTGTCGGTTCAAGGCCAGCCTGGTCTACAAGAGCTAGTTCTGGGACAGGCTCTAAAGCTACAGAGAAACCCTGTCTCGAAAAACAAAAACAAACAAACAAAAAAAGATCCTTTCCTTTTTAAGTTTACTAAGGATAACCACTTCCCATACCCCACAGCCCCACCCACCCACCCCACTTAGTTTACCCGATGGTTACATCTTGCTAAGGACAGGCTTTTCTCCCCTTCTATTTTAGTTAGCATCAAGGCAACTTTCCTTACAGTGTTTTTGTTTTGTTTCTTTGAAGATGGTAGAGTAATTTTTCAATCCTTTCTCAACAAATCATCCCTTTGGGAACTTAGAATTAGGGAAAGAGGTTCTCCTTAGTTTATCTTCAACATGCTCTGGTTGAACGCCAAGTGTCCTCCGCACTACAAATAGTGCAAATACTTCACAGCCATCAAACTTCCCTAGTTAAGCAAATGTCCTTCAAGCAAATAGAACTTCAGAGCTCCTGGCTCTCATATTTCCACCATTCTCTTAGGTTTTTGACATTCTAATTCCCATTTGTTAATATTCTTAGTTGCTTTCAGCATATTTGTTCTAAATACTGCAACTTACTATGTTTCCAAAATAAACTCCCATATTTACTTTTTAATGTAAAATTAGCCTTGGTGAAATGGGACAAGATTTACAGTCAATATGCTTGACATTAGAGTATCATTAGGTTTTTTGTTTTGTTATTTTGATTTGTTTTGTTACCGAACGTGATTATAGTACTTGTTTAAAGCAATTATAAAAAGTAAAAGTTTACTTACAAAAGAGAAAAGGAAAAACAGAACAATTTGAGAAGTCTAGTTTTACAAGAAAGATGGCATAATGTCGTCTACAACTAAAGCAAGACTATAAAGGATACATAAACAGTTCAAGAAACAATAACTTCAAAACACTCACAAATATACAGAAATTTGTCACATGACAGACATCACTAG